TCTTCTCTTCTCTTCTCTTCTCTTCTCTTCTCTTCTCTTCTCTTCTCTTCTCTTCCCTTTCTTATTTCTTTAAATATGTATTGTTTTGACTTTGTAAAAAAAAACCCTGTTTGATAAAAATTAATTCCAAAAAAAAAAAGAAAGCATGCAGCAGGCACCAGAGGATGTAGTCAAAGCGAAGTCTGGGGGGTCAGAGCATCGCAGAAGGTTCTTCAGCGGTCCGGGGTCCAAAGCCAAAGTCACGGGATTCAAAGACACGCAGAGTCTGGGTTAGCGAACGGTGCTTGCCAGTGGAGAGGTTTGGGCTTGCTGCCCTGTCTGTGCCAGTGTCGCTCATTTAGGGGAGGGCGCAGCTTTTTTCTTGCGAGGAGCCTTGCAGAGCGCCTTTGCTCTGCTTTCTTCTCTGCACGGCGAGCCCTTGCGCTGGGGGAGGCGACAACGCCGACTCCTCATTTTCAGAGATTGACGGCAGCTGCTCCTGTTGAATCCTGGATGGCCCCGCCTTCCCTGCCTGGAGGTCCTCAGGCAGTGGTTCATCCGGTAACTCTGGAGCAGGCTGCTCATTGTTAGTCTCCTTGTCTCTGAGCTCACCATGACAGTCACTATATCCACCAACACCATTCTTGGTGGGTGTGACTTTATTATTATTTTTCGCTCTAACAAAAAGACAGTAGTAGAAGTATGCTGAAGTGGTAGAGAGCATTCTGAAGGAAGAGACAGAATTGTGGGTACAGGTAGTCCTCACTTAACAACCACAATAGGGACCGGAAAATTTGTTGTTAAGCAAGGCATCATGTGACTGCACTCGATTTCACGACCTTTTTTGTGGTGGTCGTTAAGCGAATCACACAGTTATTAAGTGAATCACACAGTTCCTCATTGATTTTGCTTGCCGGAAGCCAGCTGGGAAGGTTGCAAATGGCAATCACAGGACCCCAGGACACTATAACAATTGTAAGTTGCCAAGTGCCAGGATCACAGTCACATCACCATGGGGGGTGTGTGTGCTGCTATGGTCGTAAGTGTGAGGACCAATCGCAAGTTATTTTTTCAGCATTGTCATAACTTCAAATGGTCTCTAAATGAATGGTCATTAAGCAAGCACTACCTGTAGTAATAGGTGTTTTGTGACTGACCACATCTAATAGGTCAGATGCTGGGGCAACTGTCCTTAAGATTACATTCCAAATGTGCCCATTGATCCAAAAAGGTTGGAGGTCCCTAGCCTAAAAGTTGATAAAGCAGGACTTCTGGACAAATGTTCATTAGTGCTTGCAGCTTCCCAGCTCAACTGGAGAAGCTGCCACAGTGAAGTCTCACTTTGGGGTACTGTACAATCCTGGGTTGTCCCAGGATTCCTGGCTTAAATTAGGAATGCTTTGAGACAGACTTGGCTTTCTATTCATATGCTAAGAACTGCACTTCCCCAAAATGTGTAGGGTCAGGATAAAGAAGTAGGCTTTATTTCATTTGATTTACTTGATTTCACTGAAATAAAATTGAATTAAATTGTTAAATACCATGCATGATTACTCCTGCTGTAATGAACATTTTTTTAGCTGTCACATTAAAAAACACAATTCAGGAGCAGGTTTTGGAGAAGAGGTTACCCATGGACTGAAGGCATTAATTTGTGCATTCTACTTTAAACTATGTTTACTGAGAACAAGCCATGATATGCAGCCCAAATTTAATTTTGTCCATGATGCTCCAAGTTCAGTATACAAAATCATAGTTTCCTGTTCCATTTTAACCAAGCCACAAAGAGCAGCATGATTAGAAAAAAAATAAAAGGGCTAGAAAAAAATAATCAAAACTTTTTTCCTTCCAATTCCTATAGGCTCTGATCAAATTATGGGACTCGATGAAAGAGCTTGCGATTCTCCCTGCTCCTCCTCTGCCTTCCGACATGCTGACCTATACAGAGCTGGTCTTGGATGACCAAGGCCAGTTGGTACAGATGAACAGACTTCCAGGGGGAAATGAGGTAAGTCTGCCTGCTTGGTTTATTACTTGCTATTTTAACAGAAATCTCTCTCTCTTGCCCGCTTACTCTATTGGCAACCAGTTAATTTCAATGACCAGTTCAAAGTATGGTTAGGATTTTTTTTTTTTAACCAGTAAACAGTTTGGCATCTCAAGGATGGTTGATCCAAAAAAAGTCCAAGTATTGAATCTTCTGTTTGTCCTACTAATATTATAGATATTAAGCCGTGTAGAGTCCTTGGTGCTCTCTGAGCTTGGTTGTTTGCTTGCAAACATTTCACGACCCGACTAGGTAACATCATCAGTGCTAGTGAATGTGGGGTTTTCTCCCTGTTTATATACAGTAGCTTGCTCTGTCAGTGTTCGTGAGGGTGCAGTTTTCTCCTTGGTAGTTCCTTGATTAGGGTATTGTTTTTTGCTTGATTGCTTGTCTGATGTTGACAGCGAAGAAGGAAACAAAAGTCCAGAACACATCCTCTCCAGTAGCCTACACCCAGATAAGCAGGGATTAACGCTCCCACCAACACTGGCAGGGCAAACTACTGTATATATAAACAAGGAGGAAACTCCACACTCACCAGCACTGGTGATGTTACCTAGCTGGGTAATGAAACGTCTGCAAGGAAACAATCAAGCTCAGAGAGCACCAAGGTCTCCACAGTTCAACCCTGAACTACATATATTCTCTTCTATTGGAATATTAAGCCATATTTTGGTGCTGGCTAGTCAAGTGTCCTCACATCTGTTTGAACCCTTGGGATGAGGGAGAAGTCCCAAGTTCATTCTTTGTTTTTACTCTGTGCTGGGCTTACTGATAAGGAATGAGAATAGGGCTTAATTTAGATCAGTGTTTTTCAGATGTGGCAACTGTAAGATGTGTGGACTTCAACTCCCAGAATTCCCCAGCCACATCGTAAAGTTGCCGAGTTTGAAAAACACTGGTTTTGATTCTCATAGGAGAAAGGAGGGGCAGATAGGAGTCAGCATAAGGGGCGGGGGGGACATCTTGGATACTTCCAAGTGACACATTACGATCTGCGGGGATTCTGGAGAGTAGAAGCAGAGTAATAAATGTTCTGGCTGGGAACTTGAGGTATGATCAGGTCTACATCATCTCTAGTGACTGTTGAAAATGAGCTATGTTTTCTATCTAGAGTAAACCTAAAATGCATTGATTAGGATTCTGGAGAAATGCTGGGTGAGATTTCACCAGAGTGTCTGAGGGTCCACTCTAGCAGGTCTTCTACCTGTGGCTGAAAAGTTTCTTACCCAGCTTCTAGAGGCTGGCCTTCCATCACAGAAAAAATACCTTTCTTTCTAGAGCAGACATAGGAGCATGCCAAATGTTAGGCTTTTTTCTCCTTCCTTCCTTCCTAACATTTTTTGAATCACCCAATAGCTGAAATACTCTGCGTGGTTTATAAGAAAACACATTAGAAATACAGTCTGATTAAAAGGATATATAATAAAATGCCAGATAAAGACTCCTGTAAATTAAAAAGCTGCAAGGTGGTCATTCAGAGACTAGAATTAAAATGCAATTAAAATACAATTAAAACCTGGTTAAAAAGTCTGGGAAAATAGGAAGGTCTTCATCTGGCACTGAAATGATGCTAGGGTGGGCACCAGTGAAACTTTTAAAACGAAACCTTTGGTGTATGTCTACTATAAGTCTCCCTCCAGAGATTAGGATGTCCCCAACCCTGTTGACTTTTCCTAAGGCCTTGAAGACCTGGCTATGTGCCCAAGCCTGGGGCCCCAAATGTGTTAAGGGCCCTGTTTCCTGGCTAAATAGATACCTAAGGTTATAATATTCTCAGCTGAGATAGATAGATAGATTTGCATTATGTTTGTGTTGGTTTTAAATGTTTTTATGTTTGTTCGCCGCCCAGAGTCACTTGTCTGAGATGGGCAGCTATATGGAATGGAATGGAATGGAATGGAATGGAATGGAATGGAATGGAAATGAATGAATGAATGAG